ATAACACAGGTGCAGCGGGGCACTGGTTCCCCTCTGGGGCTCAATCATGCGTGGAACAAAGCTCCATTTGAGCCACTTAATGAGTTCGCTCCTGCCAGAGGCCTGGAGAAGCTGGGCTTGTAATAACAATAATGGCTTTGCCCTCCTCCTCTCCCTTGTTCAGGGCTTATTGTTGTTGCCAAACAAGCAAGAGGAGCAGCTGGTGAGGGAGCAAGGATGGGTGGCAGGTGAATCCAGGCGTTTTGCTATGCTCCTTGGGGGGTCTGACAGGAGGGATGAAAGCAGAGGGACTCATCAACAGGTTCAGGGTCCCAGAGAAGGAAGCGGGATGGGGGTGGGGAAGATGATGGTTATGGCGGGTGGGAGAGACAATTACTGGACAAGGCAGCTGATGATTAACAACATTAGACTGCTGGTTTGCTAATCACGCTGACCAATATGGCCTCATTGTCTCCGTGCCCGTCAGTCCATATCAACTGGTGCCTTTTGTCTTATACATAGTCTCTACTCCAAAGACTTTGCAATCGGTCTTTTTGTTCTGTGATTGTACAGCACCTAGCGCCATGGGGTCTTGGATCAAGGGACTCCTAGGTGCTACAATGACACAAATAATAAAAGAATAATAATTATTATGAAGAGCATCAGGGGACTTTTCTACAGCCAGGCCTTTTACAGTCCTGCCAGGACTGCTTTAGCTACATGGTGCGCAGAGCAAGGAGGTCTGCAAGGAAACCTCAAGGATTGGTTTGCATCTGCTGCACTTCCAGGGGCGAGAGCACCCCCACCTGGCCATTTCAGGCTAGACACCATTCATTTGATCCAGGATCCATCAATAGCCCCAGGCTCTTTTTAGTAGAACCTTTATGAAATAATATCTCCACCTTACCCCTGCTGTCTCAGACCAACAATCCCACTCCCCCATTTTAATCCTGAGTGCTCCCAACCTCCTTCCTTCCAGTCATCAAAGTGTTTGGAATATAAACAAACCCATGGGGGGAAATATATAGACCCAGAACTAACTGGCCATGGGTCTGCTGGGACCCTGAGCACCTGTCTTGTGCATGTAAGCAGAGTCAGGATGAGCTCTACCCTGACATCTGGTGGTGAATTATGGCGAGTGTGGAAAAGAACTCCAGGGGCTGAGCTTGTTTGCATAGGCACACCCACTCGCCTGGCAGAAAACACAGCAACTGAAAGTGGTTACTTTGGCTGGTGTGGGATCCCCAGTTTCTCTATTATTGGGGCAGGAAGAATAAAGTTTGTTACCCTGATTCTGTGAATCAAGGCCAGTGGAACTGTTGTATGACAGAAGGACTGAGTGAGTCCTTCACCATTACCTAAGTAGCACTTGCTTGACAAGGGGCATGGGTTACAAAACCCAGTGAATTGAGAGAGGATGGGGACAGGTATTTGTACCTGATGGTATGGGTCCCCTCTGAGGGTCCAAAACACCAATTGCACCACCTCCTCTCTCCACTGTTGAATGTCAGAGCTAACTTTGATTCCCTTAGGAGTCTAGTTACAGGCTGCTGAGCTGAATTCACTTTGGGCCAATGGTGCACCAGCACTGGGGCTCCCCTACTATACTATGAGCTGAAATTGCTAAGAGCTGAAATCACAAAAGAGCTGATGTTATTAAGAGCTGAGATCACTGAGGCTATGTTAACTAGTGGGGGAGCCTGAAGCTATATTGCTCAGCAGCTGGCGGAGCAATTTGTGGGGATGACTGGAGGAGCAGCGAGCGGCGTGGAGCCTTGCGGGGCCGGTTGGAGTGGCCCAAGGAACGGCGAGCGGAGCTGTTTACGGGGACAGCTGGAACGGCTCACAGGTCGGTGAGCGGAGTGGAGCGGAGCAGCTTGTAGAGCGGAGCAGTTCGTGGGATGGCAGGAAAGTGGACTGGCTCGTGGTAAAGGCTGCGGCGGAACCCCCACGGAGAAACAGACGGCTGGCCAGCCTCGGATCACGTAAGGTGCCCCTTAACACCCTGCGTGCCCCCGCCCTTTACTCTGGGGCTGCACTGACCAGGGGCAGAGACTTTGGGGGTTGTTGGACTTTTGGGACTTTGGGTGGTTGCTGGACCCCAGAGACTTTGGGGATGTTGGACTTTGGGGACTCTGGGTGATTTTTGGGTTGCTGGATTCAAGAACCAAAGGGAAAGGACACAGGCCAATTTGCTGGGGTGGGTTTTGCTCATGGTTTGTGTTATGAATCCTGTTTGTGGTGTTTTTCCAATTTTATGCTGATGTCGTTTACCTCATGTTATTAAACATTTTCTGCTACACTCAGACTCCGTGCTTGCGAGAGGGGAAGTATTGCCTCTTAGAGGTACCCAGGGGGGTGGTATGTAATTGTCCCAGGTCACTGGGTGGGGGCTCGAGCCGGTTTTGCATTGTGTTATTGAAACAGAACCCCTAGATACAGAACCCGGCCCTTGTTGCTGCCAACTTAGATGGGCAGAAGGGTTACATGCATCATGCCCTGAACTTTCATCTACTTGTTCTTGTTTGACTGGTAAGATCGTTGGGGCCAGGACTGTATCCTCCTGTGTATTTGTACAGCCCCAAGCACTGCAGGGACCCATCTCCGGGTAGAGCTACAACACAAATAAATCTGTAGAGAAACGTGGGACAGATTTACCCTAGGAAAGAGAAACTTGTGTGCAATTGGCTACATATTGGAGGGGGGTTCTGAGATGGGAAAATCACAGCTCACGAGGACAGTCTCGATACTGCAGCGATTGCCTGCTCATGGGGAAATGGAGGGATGGAGAGCTTCTCCCACACTCCCCTCCATGCCTAATTCCACCCAGCTGCAATGCACGTTACAGCCTCTCAAAGTTCATTTCCCAGGCCCCTCCCTCCTTCCCACTTCAGTCCCTCAAAAACATTTCCCACTGACATTGATAAAGAACCTCTTTCCCTAACTTCTGTCCAGCCTTAAACTCTCAGCATCTGGGGCTGGGACTGTCCTGTCTTACATAGGTGGAAAGCACCTGGGGCACTGAGTACCAGACAAACAGAAGAGAGAGAGGCACAGACAGACTAGGGTGACCAGGTGTCCCGATTCTATAGGGACAGTCCCGATATTTGGGGCTGTGTCTTATATAGGTGCCTATTACCCCACACCCTGTCCCGATTTTTCACCCTTGCTATCTGGTCACCCTAAGACAGACAGACAGACAACATGGCAGAGGAGGGAAACGTCTGGTCTTTTACAGATGTGCATATTCCCTTATTGTGTCTCAGCTTCCCTCATCTCCTCCCCTCCCCTACACCCACCCGCCCCCTTCTCTCTCGCTCCACCACTCTCTGCACTGCAATCTTGCAAGTAAATATCCCCATCTTGTGGACTGTCATTGCTAAGCAGGCCAGAGAGCCTCACAGACTCCCCACCCGAATAGAGCTGGACAGACAGAAGCACAGCAACAGACCAGGGCACATTCTACATAACAAGTGTCTTTATGACCAGCTCAGGTTTATGAAACAGGAGTTAATACGTTCGCCAGATTTGCTCTGAAATAGTTGGAGGAAAAACTTCAAATGCAGCCTGTCTCTGCAGTAGGAGCCCCAGGCTGGACAAAACGCTGCAAAAGAGAAACAAGAGAGAGGTGAGCAAGAGCGATGGCATCAGATGGGCCAGGATCCTAAGGAGGTAAATAGGACTAGCGCCTTTCACCAGGGATCGCAAAGCACTTTCCTTGTTTAATGGGTCTTATGCCCCCATCACCGTGGCCTGGGGGCACATGCAAAAATTCAACAGCACTGCTTCAAATGAAGCCGCTCCCTGCCAGGCATTGCAAACAGTCCTCCCCAGCCTTAGTACATGAGTCTGCCATGATCTACAGGCCAACCAACGCTTCATCAGGAGGTGGGAGCTGGCACCGTACCCTACAGGTCAGAGGAATCTGTCTCTGCTGGATGCCCGGGAAAAGCGCGTTCACAGCCAAGGACCCTCCTCAAGAGCGGAGCCTGGCTGACCTCAGCATCCCCACTCACTAATGACCTCTCACAACAGGGGGCGCTGGAACAATGTGTATAGCGGGGGGTGCTGAGAGCCACTGAACCAAACTCTAAACCCTGTCTATAATGGAATCCATAAAGGATCCTGAGTTTCAGAGATGCTGAGCTAGTCAGCTTGGCTCAGGCCACAGCGGGGCGCAATATCTTACCGAAAGGATCAGGCTTTAGGCTAGATTCCGTGCTGGGCCTCTCGGGAGATACCACGCAGGAGGGGCAGCCGAGGAGGATGACGACAAAGGTAGCTTTAAAACCACCTGTGTCCCCCTTGGACACTCCCTGCCTTCCCTCTGGCCCTGCCCACACAGACCGACCTGGCCACCAGCTGCTAGCCAGGACAGCTTCCCTGGCCACTGTCAGGTTTTGACGGCAAGCAGCTCCGGGTAGAACTTGATTTAGGTAAGCTGACTCTCAGCCCCCTGGGTGACTTAGAATGACAGTTGACACTATCCCAAACTGGCCAGCCAGGATGGCATGGGACCACGTGCCCTGAGGTTTCCCATGGGAGAGATAAGGCCAGCGAGGGTCCAAGTTTCAGATGCCCCTGGATGCCTAGGCCAGGTGCGTCATGAGGTCACAACTTGTCTTGCCCCAGGTCTGCAGCACCGGCAATAGAGGCCAGGAGGGAATCTTGGCATAATTCACTCTGGGGAAATCGCTTTTATTTGTTATCCTGACGCTCGCTGATTTGGACCTACATGTCTCAGGACAAATGTTGGCCCTTCATCACGGGCCTAAGTTTACTTTCAGCCCAGGAACTAGCTGCGGGAGGCCAGCTGGTGGAGCAGCAGTGAGAGGAAGAAACTCAGGGCTGGATTAAAATGGAGAACAAGCTCCTTTCTAACCTCAGGAACAGAGGGTTCACTCTGTAGGGTCAAGTCTATGGAGGTGGCAGGTTTGAGGAAGCTAGGAGCAGTGAATCGAGGAATGAGTTGAGACTCACTTCCAATGTTCTACCTGGCCTACACGCCTTACCTGCTATATTTAGCTTGAAAGCGTGGCTCGGATCTCAGTGTTCGACCTGTTGTTCTGCATTGCTTGAAGCATGACCTGGGACACACTGAAGAAACAAGAAGTTATAGGGAGGTGTCGGACCCAGCAATGCACTGGGGAGGACTTCTATCCATCCATCTCACGATTCTGCACAGGTGTCCATCACTGCAGGATCTGAGCGCCGGCCAGAACCCAAAATGTGCTGCTACCTAACTGCAGAATTGGGTTTCCTGCACCTGGATGTCATTTAGGGGGATCTATGTTTCAATCTCCAACTGGTAAAAGCATCGAGAAAGCAGATGTTGCAGTTGAGTCTGCAGAGGTAGAAGCTAGAATTTGATGTGCCCTGTCAGACTGGATCAGACCCATGGTCCATCTAATCCAGAATCCTGTCTCTAAAAGTAGCCAGCACCAGATGCCTCAGAGGAAGGTGCAAGAGCCCTACAACAGGCTGATGTGGGATAATCTGCCCCCACAAAGGCCTCGCCACATCCCCAAATCACTGGAGTCTGGCTTAAACCCTAAAGCAGGGAGGAGTTATCCCTTCCAAAATTCTTTTCTTTTTGCATTAACTATAACAACACTGAATACTTTTCTTATGCAGATAACTGTTTGGCCCTATTTAATTCTTTCGTCTCAATGGCATCCTGTGGCAGTGTGTTCCACAATCTAATCACATGTTGAGAGAAAAAGTATTTCTTTTTATCTGTGTTGAATTTTCCACCTTGCAATTAATTGAAAGTCCCCTTGTTCTTCTGTCGTGCAAAAGGAGACAAGGGGTTAATTTCCTGCTAGAGCAGCTCTAGTAGCATGGTGACCATTGGCTTGATCTCTCTAGCCAATGAGGACTCTGGATAGCCAAGGAACTTGGGCTCTCTTCTTCTAGAAGAACACCTGGTTTAGAGGACTTTTGTTGGATTGCCAAGTGGTGACAAATCTGGACAGCAGCAAACAGGTCTGAATTCTCTCCCTATTACGGAGGTCTGGCGAAGTTTTCACTGGGGGCCCACTCCGAGTATCTGGCTACACATCCATATTTTTAAGGATCAGCACAACTTGAAACCAGGCCTGCAGGGCTACTAGACAACCAACATCCCCACAGTGCCATGCAGCAGCAACTGTAACCTGGCCACTCCCAGCAACCCACAATCTGCAGAGGTTCAACACTACTGGAAGTTCCACCTCAAGTGATCTGAAAGAGTAGTCTTAGCAGTCCCTGATGGGCTTATATAGGGACAAAGCCAACGAGGTGTACCAGGATGTGTCCAGGCAACACAGCTAGCTTCCACGACCGACTTGCTTCTCTGTTTCTGAGCTCCCGGTACTGATCTCGGCGCTGATTCCCGAACGACCCCTGGGACCCTGACCCCATTATCTGGTATTGACCCTCAGCCTGATTCTTGACTCTGTGTGCAGCTCAGATCCTTGTCTTGACTCGAACCTCATCTTGACTCTTGACCCCGATACTGGCTTTGACCCGTTTCAGTTCTGGGATTCCAAGCGCCTACCCCTAGTCCGGCCTACCTTTGCCCAGGATCCTGACATTATTACCCTAGGGCTCCAGCACACTGGCCCCACTCCAGCACGTGCCTAGTCCCACTGCACACAATCCAGAGTGCTCAGCACCGAGACTGTAAGCTCTTTGAGGCAGGGACTGTGTCTTCCTGTGGATGGGGGCAGCACCTGGTGCCTTTTGGGCGTGACCTGAGTATGAGCTGGCAGATGTTTAAAGGACCCTGCCAAGAGGATCTTACCTGTTTCGCACTTGTTCCAGCCTCTCCCGCATGGCTTCGTTCCTCATGTCACTCGATACTCGAAAGACCCGGGTCTGACTGCAAGAACCACACAAGTCCATTCAGGTGATTTTATGACGCTGGCCTGGTCACCCATAAAAAACATCCAGCATGCCACCCAAGCCCAGCTCTGCACAGGTCCCCAATCTTTGTGTTATCCCAGTCTACCCAATGGTAGGACTGTATCCTCCAAGTTAAAAGTGCTCCTCGTTAGTTCTAGTAGAACCCAAGAGATCAAAATCGCTGATATGTAAGCATGATGCTGTAAAAGGTTGTGATTGGTTTTTTTATACATTGCAATATAGATGCATATAAACTTCACAGCTCCATGACCAAACACTGCCCACTTTGGGCCAGATCCTCAGCTGGCGTAAGCCAGCAGAGCTCCATTGAGTTCACCGCAGTGATGTACAACAGCTGAAGTTCTGGTCTTTTGGTCCAGTCCTGAGCATCCTGGCTCCCACTGACGCTCATTGCCTTCTCTTCCCCCCGCCTCACTTCAACGGGGCTTCCCCTTTCATACTCCAGCTCAGTACCTTGCAGAATCAGACCCTTTGCCTCTTCCTAGGGGATAGCTACAAGGGACTCTACCTCCATCTTATGAACTGGATCTTTGTCCTCTCCTCCAGAAGACCGCGGCTCGACGATGACACTGGCAGTTTCGTGCTAGAGACTTGAACAGACTAGGAAAAACAGGGGAGAGCAGATATTATTCACAGCCGCAAACCTTGGCATGAAGGGAAATAGGATGAAACGCAGCTCAGAGTCTTAACCAGGGGGGGGAAAAAAAAGCCCTTTACTATCTACTTTATATCAGCATTAATGAGACCACAGTGGCTAATGCCAAATCAGCTGAGAAGTGCCTATTACCCCTGAATGCAAGGCAGTGACATTTCAGTTATGTGGAAAGGTTGCTTTTCAAGTTCATGTGGAACATAGTGGGAGAACAGGATTTGCCCTACTGGATCAAACCATTGCTGAAGCAAGTCTGTATCCTGGCATCATTATGCATCATAGGGAACCACTGGTGTGCATGGTGGGGAAAAAAAGCCCGTGGACGTCAAATGGGAGTCTCTCAGTTGATTTCAATGCACCTTGGGCCAGTCACTAGATCTTGCTTCTGGCAGAGGTCAATTGATGCTTCAGAGGAAGAGGAGGAAAACCACAACACAATGACCTAGCTGTATATCATGCTGTCTACACAGGAGGATAAGCGTTCCTCACATTATCAGATCACCTTGCACTTTTGTAGCTGATATTTGATTAGCCCCTTCAACTGCAGAGGAAGAAGGAAACAGTGAGCCAAACCAAACTTCCCAGGCAGTAATGCCCATCTTTGGTTTATCCTCTGTGGAGAAGGACTCCATTCTAACCCGCAAGGGCCAGATTTTCCAAAGAGCTCAGCACATAAGTGGCATGCCGGGAGGAGCCGGCTGCTGAGCACTTTTGAAAACGTGACCCTTGTTTGGAGGATGCCAAAAGGGGAGAAAAAAAGAAAACCTCTTGAAAACCTGGCCCTGAACGTGCGTGATGAGCAGTTGGGAACTTGGCCCAGCTGCCCAAGAGGTTTGGTGTACACAAGGAATGCTTTAAAGCGAGTTCCAGGGGATGGATGACAGTCCAGCCATCTATTGCTGCTATGGTTTCACTGGCAAAGCCAAGCTTGGTTTCAACAGCAGAAGGAAAACGGAGTCTTGTTTCCTATTCTGTTGAGGTTCTCAGACCTCAGCCACTGTTAAGGTGTTAGAGCACTTAACGTCTCCCCGGTGTAACCCCACTGGACACCCTGGCCCATGCTACCCATAGCCCCACATGAGGGAAGTGTCTTAACACTAATATATGCCACTCAGACTCTACTTCTTCCACCTTCTCCTGTACAGCGTCACAGGACGCTGCCACCTCTCATTCCATACACCGCCCCCCGGACACTGTCCCAAGGCGATACCTGTGACTTTGTCATTCCTGAACCTTGGCCAGCAGAAGGGGTCGCTTTGGTTTCTGCCTTGTTTTCCAGTTTCTGCTTAAAGAATTTGGAAGCTTCTTCTTCAATCTGAAAGGGAAGCAAAATAACAACATCTTTCCTCGCCAGCAACTCCTGAGGGAGAGCAGTGACTAGAATGAACTGTCCAGGTATCAGACCTCAATGGCTCTTAGGCACTTGGGGTTTTACTTTATACTTCTTGGTAACTGAGGGCTAATAACAAAGCAACTATCCATTTAGGGAAAACACTTGGGCCCCTTGCTTCCTAGCAGGTACCATCTCATCTTCAGAACACAGAAGGGTGGAAGAGTGGAACCTGCCAAACCAGTCCTCTTAGAAGGCTAGAATGTCGTCTCCTAGCTGGGTGTGTATTAAATATGAAGATCCACCGTAGTGTCTGTTTAGGCAAAGTAATGATCTCAGAGCCTTTGGCTTCAAAGTACCTTCAAAGCAGGGTTGAACCAAAGTCCCCAGAATACCATTTAATCCCAGAAGTCCACTGTGTTGGGGGACAGTCTCCTCACCAAGATTTTCTTTTTCATAACAAGGGTGGTAACAACCCCGACGTTGAGTCAGATGGGCATGAAAACCACATTTCTCCCCTCCGTCATGGTTATCATCCATGTACCCAGGCACTAAAACCATGCCCCCTAGTCTGTATCCATCCAGACAACTGGGCATTCAACGTGGTTTCCTCCTAGTTAGCATCCAGGTAACCAGGCATTAAAATCCAGGGTCCCCCCACGTAGTAGCAATGTATTCATGCATCAGATCCAGGATCTGATCCTGCCCCCCACCCCACCTCTAGGCTTAGCAAGGTACCGAAGTATTAAAATTCTCCCCGATTCAGTGTCCAGGCACTGAATTGATTTAATCGGGGCTTAGTGCCCCCCTTTACCATCTGGGTGCTAACACAGTACTCCACTCCCTGGTTACCGTCCTTGCTGGCATCTTATTGGCTAGGATCTCACTAACTTGGGCATGCTGCTACTCTCTGGCTCTCATCCTCACCTTCCTCAGCCAGTGCTCTAGCACGGACAGCATCTCTGTCTCCACGACTTTAATGTCCTGCAAGGAATCAGACAGGGTGAGGCTGGCATGAACCCTGTGCATTTCCCCCCGCCCCGCCGATGGGGAGCTCACAGCTAAGCCACAGAATAACCCCATCGCCCCCTTACCGGAGCCTTGCTGGGTGGGAACCGACGGCCAATCGATTTACAGATCAAGATGTACACGCCCCACGTGGAAATAATCATCCTAGGGGATCCTCTCCCCCGGGAGGTGAGCCCTCCTTCAGCCTCAGTTCCCCTCTTCCACAGGAACTGGTCTCTGCAGTAAGAGTCCTGGCTGAGGGGCAGCATTGTTGCATCACCAGGCTCCGTGGCACAGCAACCGCTGACGCTGTCACAATGGTAGGTGGCAGCAGCAGTGTGCCTCCCTGTGCTTGCCCCCCCCCCCCCCGCTCATAAAAGAGGCAGGCAGAGGCTCCTGTGTTTTCTAAGCAGGGATTTTCCCTTCTGAAGCCTCTAGCACTTCCTTGGAAGTTACTGGGCTCCTCCCCTCTGTGGTATGTAGGCCCTCCTCACCCGGGGTGCTGAAGCACTGTGCTGTTTTTCAAAAGCACCTAAGGGAGGCGTTAGGTGCCTAATTGAATTTCAGTGGCATTTGGTCACCTAACTCCTTTCAGCCCCCGGGCTCTATCCTCCTAGCCCCCCCATCAGGGAGGGAAGTGCTCTCCCCATTTTATAGATGGGGAAACTGAGGCACAAGGTGATTGCCCGGGGACACACATGGTGTTCATTGCAGAGCTGGGAATTGAACTCAGGTCTTACAAATCCCAGGCCAGAGCCCTGGGGCCATCCAACGCTTTCTGTGGCAAGTGTGTTTACCAGAAGATATTTTACTCCTAGTAGAGGGTACCAAGGAACCCGCAGGTGCTGCAGGAAGGTGTGGTGATCTCTTTTCCATTGACTCATCATCGAGCCAATGCCCCAGCATGTTGCTCAGAGGCATTGTGCTACTGGAGGTGCCATCTTTTCCACAAGATGGATAAAACGGAGGCACTGGCCATTAAAGATCCCATGGTACTGTTCATAAAAGATGAGGCATTAACCCCATTCCCCGGAGGACATTCCAGTTTCTAGCTAGCTAGGTATTGTTAAGTATTGCAGCAGCTTCTATGGGAGTCTTCACTTTCTGTGTCACGTCGCCGTGCGCTGTGGAAACAGCTGGTGTATCCCACACTAGAGGCGACTGCATTTCAGCAGTGGGCAAAGTGGTTCCAGGAGAGGTTTTGGAAAGAACTTGGGGATCTTCCAGGTTGAAAGCTGCTAAATAATTGCTGTTTGATACAGGGCCTTGCTCCCTAAGCTCTGTGCGCAATAAAAGAGCACACAAGCCCTTTTCTGACATGCCCTAGATGGAGAAGTACTTGTACAGGAAAAAGTGCTCAACTTCTGCTCAAAATGTTGGGGTTTTCAAAACGTTGCTCATGGAGCAAGAACAAAACGAAACTCTGCTTTTAGCAGCATGGTTGGAAGTTAGGTGATCAAGCTGCCAGTAACTCATTAGAGCTGACCACTGTGTGGTTGATGGCAAAGACATGGGGACACAGTAACTGTGCCAGGGCATGACCTGAGGAGACGCAGAAGGTGGGAATGCCCACCGGTCTATCGAAAGGGGGATTCCAAGAAAAGGAAGGTTGGAACCAATGGTTTAGTTCAGTTCCGGGTGTCCATTCCCATGGACTTCCCAGGGCTCCTCTGAAAGGTCAGGACTGATCTGGCAGCACTTGGTAATAGCCAGCAGTGTCCCAGCTATGTGAACCCCTGGGACAGCAAGAACCTTCTCTCTTTGTTTAAGGCTGTGGAGAGGTAGCTGGAGCAAAGGAGAGGGAGGGGACAGCGCTTTCTAGGCAGGCCCAGAACTTCAGTTCAGTTTCTTCTCTCGAGCCCTGTCTCATCACTCACACTTTTGCTCTACTTCCACAAGGGTAACGCGACTGCAAGATGCTGCCAAATCAGATTCTCCCGTCACTCACCCCAATGGGAGCAACACCACATGAACCAGGGAAGTTTCACTCATCATTACCTACAGGACACTGATGGAATATTCCCAAAGTCTCATCAGCTGGAACATGGACTGAGATGTCGTCACTAGAGAACTGAAGGGATTTCACAAGAGCACGTGACCCCAGAGCCGGGAGTTATAACCAAAACACCAAGAAACTAAAAAACGAATCAATGCCACATGCCAGCATTTTTTAAGCAAATATTTATTTATATCAAAATACAAAACATTTCTGAAGCAAAGTAATGTTACATGAGGAGCAATTAAATGTTAAACTTTATCGATTCCAAAATCCATCATTCTCCTACAGAATGGCTAGTTTTACTTAACATTGCAACACTGCCATAATTTCTTAATTGGGTATATTAAAAAAAAAAAAAAAAGCAATCTATGGACATGCAATGTTACTGGTGATGAGTCGTTTAGTATTCTGCAGGCCTTAAAATACCAGCAAGGGAAGGTCTGGGGACAAGCCAGTCACATTAAGGCAGGGCTTCAAATTAATTTTCCTCCAATGTTCATTAGACTATGTTTTTAGTTGGCAGTAGTCCAGGTGCCTAAGGGGCCAACATCCTTGGCAAACAGAGCGGGTTTATTGCTTAGAGCCACCAAACTAGAAGCAGCTAGGAGTTGCCTCCAGTGAATGCCAAGCAGGTTAGCTCTTCATTTGGGATAGGGAAAGAAAGAGCGTTTTGGGGGGGCTAGACACTGTTTGACAGAGAAAACCAGGCAAGGTCTGTGTTTGCTTTGGCCAAATGAGGTATAGTGCCAGAATGGCTGAGTTGGAAGATTTCTCAGTACCGGCTGGTTGTATTCCCACTAGTGCCAAATTCCCTTCTCCGTAACACCTGGGCACATCCACGGACGTCAAAAGCACGGTGCATCAGTGTGAGAGAAATGAATTGGGCCCCAAAGACTCAAAGGGAAACACTCAGCTTCCTGGGGGTTCTCTGCATAGTCAGCTTCCCGGGAGGCAGTCAGGGAGGGGAGGGAAAAAAAAAAAAAAAAAAAAGGAGTTGTCCCTATCCCCCAGGAGGTTACATTTACCTGCCAAGAACAGATTAGCACCCAGTTGGGGAGAGCATCCCCGTTTCCTCCCCTCATTACAAAATCAGGGACTGAACAAAATTTGACCAATATCCTCCCCCAGCAGAAATGAGGCCCCCTGCCCTGGCTCCCAAGTGACAAAGCACCATCGCTGGCTAAACTTCCAGGACCATGTCCCAGTCCTTACTGCCCCCTGCTGGTATTTTACAGACCTTCACAAAACCGAGGCTGAGAGCAACAATACAGCTAGAGAGAGATTATATAGAGCGCAGAATTAAGTTTTGTATAAGGCTTTGGTACAGCACCATCATGTCTTGGATTTATTTCTAAATCGTTTACAGAAAAAAAAGCTTACTGAAAAAATAGTGTTCTGTTTCTCCTCTTTTTTTTTTTTAAATTTTATTCTCTTGAATAACATACCTGAAGTTAAAAATTAACCCTCTAGTTGCCATTCGGGTTCAGGTCGAATATTTTTGCTGTGTGCATCTGTGCAATTGAAAAACACACTGAAAACAAAGTCAAACTATTGTCAAATTATTACACAGCCGCCCCCACTTGCAGTAGCCGCCGGCACTGTCGTTACACGGACAGAGCGACTAAGAATTTGACGTGCACATGTCAGTAACCAATATCACAGTTCAGAGCACTAACCGTTATTAAAAAAGAAAGAAAACCACAACAACGAACATTAAGGAACCAGTGGGACTAATGTTTCTTTTATTACTATTATTAAAAAAGTCAGTTCCACTGGCTACCATTTAAACAGCACCAAAGAGCACCCTAATGTGTGTTATACATTGTAATACTCGACATTCAAGAAATGGAAACGAGGTTGAATGGTCTCTTCAAGGGTTAAAGTCATTTTTAAATATAGGCAAGTTTTTTTTTTTAAAAAAGGAAATAAAAAAGACCCTACAACAGAAGATCACTTGGCGTTCTAAAGAAAATCCCACCGGTTTAACAGGGAATTAAACCAATAGGGGTCTATGGAAATTTAACAGGGTTCCACAGACTCTAAAAAACTTATCACGTTGAATAGAAAATGATAAGCTGAATATAAGAGTTTCAAACTATCCTACACAGTTCTATAGGGATATAATTTTCTATTAAACTCCATAGGATGACTCAAGAGACCAATAGAAAGGTGATCATTTGTTATTAAAATTCTGTAGGGCTTTCCCACAAGAGAAATCCAAACAGAAAGTCCACAGTTGTACAGAAAGTCTTAAGCTGTCTTTTTTTAAATTTTGAGACTAAGAGTGCTGGGCACTCCATCCTTGCCCCAGAGCAGGATGGTTCTAAAAAGAAGCCGATGTAGTTATTGACCATGGGGGAGAAGGGAGGACGTGTATGCAAAGCACATAGAGGGAACAAACTGAAGGGGAAAAAGGCATCCCCAAGATCATTAGCCTGTCCAGATCCATTCTGCAGTCAGCAGCCCTCATGCCTTGCACTGGCCTTTGTGGAAAACACTGGGCAGTAGCAGGAGTGGGACTGGGACCTGAAAAGTAAGATTGGCCCTTTAAGTGCATCTGGGCGGGAGGATGGATGAAGCACTCCAAATAAGCAGCCACGTGGTAGATGGAAGTCAAAGGAGTGCTCAGGAAAAGCTGTAAACTCACCCTCCCTTACTTCTGATCCTATAGGGGGCTTACATGTAGGCTCACTGGGGGCACCAGAAGCGGGGCCCTTACTGAAACACCTTTTTGACTGTGTTCGCTCCCCCTCCCTCTTATTTGTCCTTTTAAGGTTTTAAAAAAAATGCTCAAGTTCCCAGAACATCCATTTAAAGCAAATCCCCCAAACGCTTCATCCTGCAAGAACCACGACAAAAGCATGCGCAACATCTGAAGTGGGTACGACAGGTGGACGGATGGACACTGGGGCTCGTGTGTAAAAAAAAGAAAGCGGACAGGTGCTCGTCTCCGAGATGACTCCCTAAACCCTAGAGCATCAGGGTGGAAACGAGGCATCGTTGGTTTGCATTTGGCATCAAGAGGGTTAATAATATTACTGTAGAAAGTGTGCTTTATAAATGTCTTTTTGCCATATTTTTTCTCCTTTTTTTTTTCCTGTAAGTGATTTCTGGGGTAGAGGGGGATGGGGGAAACAAGAAAGCTGCTAACACCCCTGCCCCCAACAAAAACCACCACAATTGGAGTGTCCCAAGCTCAAAGTGCGTGCTAAGCCACCCATCCTGAACACAAGAGAACAAGGTGCCTGGGGAAGTCCTTGTCCTTCTTACTGTTTAGT